GTTTGGCGTAACGAAGTGGATGATAGAGGAAAGACATATGCAGCTAATTTATCAAGTGGAAAAGGGAGCAACAACCCATTAGGTAATTTTAAAAGTCCAAGTAAAAGTCAATATCATAGTGTGGCTGAAAATGTAAATGTAGTGCCAGAACCGATTATGTATGTTACACCGGAGAATTATAAGTATATCAGTGATAATGATGTTGGTACATATGTTAATGATGTTGGTGTAAATCATTACTCTAACAAAAAAAAGCAGTAGCCGTGGTGAATAAGGTTGGTAATGAATCTGGAAAACAGGAAGTTCCGTTTTTGCATGATGTTGAACTAAAAGGATATGACGAGTTTGCGGATTGTGACAAGCTGGATATATCCGGCCTAGAGAGTGATTCTAACGGAGAAGAATTTGATGACGAACCTAAGCTTATTTATTCAGATACCATGTTTCATGGTATACCCCCTTTGCCTTCGTGTCCTGTCAACGCTGATGTGAACATTCCATGTCAGATGGTGGATATAAGTGAAGAGATTAAGGTTCTAGACATTTTTGATGACAAAGAGTTGCTCAAGCTTGCAATTGGAAGACAATGCATGGAACAAGGTAAGCAGTATAAGACTAACAGATCGAGCAAAGAAAGGTTCGAGGTTGTTTGTTTGGTAAAAAATTGTTCATGGATGGTTAGGGCAAGGGAAATCCAATCGACTACTGCTTTCCAAGTCAAAAAAGTTGTTGACCAACACACATGTTGTGCAACAAACTTGGAGTCTAATCATCGACAATCAAAGAAAAAGGTACTCGGGCACTTTATCGCTGAAGTATTGGCCCGAGATTATAATAGAGTTTATCGGGGTAATGAAATTATGAGGGACATCAATTCGAAATTTCCAATCAATATCTCATACCAACAGGCATGGCGGGCAAAACAGTATTCGTTGTTGATGTTAAGAGGTACCAAAGAGGATTCATTCACCAAACTACCAGCGTATCTGCACAACTTGGTCAAGCACAATCCAGGAACTGTTACTCAGATAAGAACAGACGATGATGATCGGTTTGAGTTCGTGATTATCGCGTTGGGTTGCTCGGTAAGCAGTGATAATTTTTATAACAAATATAACATATGAATCCTAATTGGTATTTGTTAATGCAATAAAAAATAATTGTAGGTACGAGCGTTCATAAAATATTGTAGGCCGACCCTAATAATTGATGGTGGTCACCTAAAGGGTGAATTCAAAGGTACGATGTTGCTCGCAGTGACAATGGACGGTCAAAACCAAATCATGTCTATTGCTTATGCCATATGCAAAAGTGAATGTACGGAGACGTGGTCCTGGTTCCTTCGAAAACTACGTGAATGTATAGGCAACCTGGAAGACCTTACAATCATATCTGATAGGGCTCCATCCATAGCGACGTCAATTGCAAATATATTTCCTCAAGCCCATCATGGAATATGTCGTATCCATTTGTATTTCAACATTTCAGCAAAATTTGGAAGCAGCGATACAATACACGCATTATTTTGGGAGACATACAAAGCTTATACTATTAAAAAATTCGATAATGGGATGAAAAAAAATTAAAAATGTAAATAATCGTGTATGGGAATACCTACAAAACTTCAATCCAGAAAGATGGGTCAGGGCACATTTTCCTGGGTATCGGTATTTTCTTATGACATCAAATAGTGCGGAGTCGATAAATTCAATGTCAAGATTTGCAAGAAAGATGCCAATATTGATGTTGATTGAGTATTTTCGTGCAACAATGCAACAATGGAGTTTTCAGAAACGTAATATTGCAGGTACTAATATTTTATATATAATAGTACTTGAAATGTTATTTTACTATATTATGAAATTATGTCTATTTTTTTAGCTGAAACAAAAACAATACTCACCCCATGGGCTGAAACGATTATACAAGCAAATAAGAATGCTTGTAATAATTAGATGGTGTACCCTATCTCAAATAGCAGATTTGAAGTGAAAAGCTTTACTCACAAAAGTGTCATTGTTGATTTCCAACAAAGAACCTGTACATGTAGGCGGTGGCAAATAGATGGCTTACCTTGTGGCCATGTCATAAAAGTGATAACAATGAGCCGTTATGAAGATTGTTCGGAATTTGCTTTAAAAGCTTACTTTACAGAGACACTGAGGAAAACTTACAAGGAGTCTGTGAACCCCTTACCAAGTCCATCTGAGTGGGAGATCCCGGATGATTTGATGACCGTGAAGCCACCCATAATGGAGAGACATCGGCCGGGTAGGCCAAGAAACACTGGTCGTATTCCGTCGCAAGGTGAGCGTCCCATATGACAATAATGTTCTACATGCGGTCAATTTGGACACACGAAGGAACGATTGTACGGGTAGGGGATCGGGGAGCGGATCTGGTGGGAGGAAAAAATCTACACAAAAGGGCATAATGACTGATGAATTTGCATCGGGAAGCGGGTCACAGAACGAAAGCGTGTACCCTACTTTTGATTTCAACAACACATTTGATTTAAATTGTCCTTAGATTAATGTAGGAAAGTAATGAATTCCCGTATTTGTAATTTGTATTGCTTGTATTAAACTGCACTTCTGAGATTATTAATTAAATCTAGTACCCCACTTATTATCTACTTTATTCCATGAAAAATAAAAAACAAACATAAAACATTATTAGAAAAGAGATACACACGTAGGAAACATTACATAAGACATTTCACATAAAAGTGTCTTCTACATGAAATATTTGTTATTTTTAACTAGAATCCATGCATCCTCATACTCGAAGTCACTTCCCTCGTGCTCCAAAATGTAATGATCTTTAACCATTTCTAAAAGATCTTCGTCGTTGTTTGGATAACGATACCTGTTTTTAAGATGATGATACCATCGATTGAACCATGTGATTTTTTCCTTTAAATCCATCCACTTATCAACAATATCTTCTTGTGTTCGGTGTTTTCCTTCTCCCAACGAGAGGTTAAACATAGCTGTTATGCGGGTCCATTCGTCACCTTCAAAGCAATCAGGGTTAACCATGGTTACATCATCGTAAATGTTCATCCAACATCGTGTTACCACCATTACCTCTCTTATCGTCCATGGATGTGGAGTATTGGACGGAGCAGCTGCGTTGGAAGAAGTTGCTTGATTGGAGGCCATTTTTTAAATTTGTTTGTTAGTTTGTTTTAATTTTATAGTACTTAAATAAGAAAAAATACTGACATACAATTAGGTGGATTCCCATAAGTACTGTTTGAAACTACATTATGCAGGCTACAAAGTAGTAGTCAAAGTCTATGAAACCGTAGTCAAATAATGAAAGAAAGTAGTCCAATTGTCAGATACCTTACACGGAGATACTGTTTGAAACGACAAATATATTGTTCGAAAAGACAATACATTATGCAGGCTACGAAGCAGTAGTCAAAGTCTATGAAACCGTAGTCAAATAATGTGAAAGAGTATCTAATTGTCAGATACCTTATACGGAGATACTGTTTGAAACGACAAATATATTGTTCGAAAAGACAAGACATTATGCAGGCTACAAAGCAGTAGTCAAAGTCTATGAAACCGTAGACAAATAATGTGAAAGTGTAGTCCAATTGTCAGATACCTTACACGGAGATACTGTTTGAAACGACAAATATACTGTTCGAAAAGACAATACATTATGCAGGCTACGAAGCAGTAGTCAAAGTCTATGAAACTGTAGTCAAATAATGTCAAAGAGTATCCAATTGTCAGATACCTTACACGGAGATACTGTTTGAAGCGACAAATATACTGTTCGAAAAGACAATACATTATGGACCTTGCCTTTACAGCTCCTACATACATATGTATCTGCATGTGGTAAGGCCCTTACCTCCACAACCTTAGGCACACTAAGTAATTGGTAGTTGTCTCTTACAAGTGATTCGAAATAAGTTTCTCTGACAGTGACCATGAAGAAAGTTTTAACAACTTGCATGTTTACCTTTATAACCTAAGGCGAATCATCTTTTTTTTGGGTTGATGCGCCTCGTCCTGATCAACATCGAAAACATCGCAAACTTTCACCCAAGTTAACCTCCTAATATGAAACTAGCGCAATATACGAGGATATAAATAATTGCGTCGTATCGCAGCATTTCCCTGAATTACTGGGAACATCTCCCATATCCATATCTTGTAATAAATATATGTTAATTTATAAGTGTTAGCACTAACTAAAATTTTCAAAAAAATAAAAACCGATAAATTATTAAATATATTTTTTAATTACTTAAATATACCTTCAAAAGAATAACAAAACCCGATAGTGTGTACACAATCGCTTTTGTTGGATGGTTGGACATATGATCCTCAAATTTCTTAAACATACCCGACAATCTAGGGTATGTTTTAGTCCATAGATAACTCCCCCACGAGAACCTATATTATAAGAAAAAAGCATGGTTGTAAAAATCGGCCTAGGCGGTCGATTAATCGGCGCCTAGGCGCTTGGCGGCCTCTAACTGCCTACGAATAAGGGTTAGAGGGTAAAATAATCGGCTTTGGTCAATATCGGTCAAAACCGGCCCAACTCGGTCCAAATCGGACTAAATCGGTCCAACTCTGACTCCAAATCGGTCCAAATCGACTTGGCTAACTATAAAAGACCCACCAGCTCAAAGGAGCTGGCTAGCCTAAAGCTTAGCTGGGTTTGATTCTAAAAGGAGCTGGATCCCCTTTTTAAAGAATAAGTTTCCTTCATACATTATCCCACCAGCGATGTGAGAGACTTTAGACTTGTAACCTGTTATAACATTCATTGCCTTCATCTATTATCCCACCATCGATTGAAGTTGATTATGGTGCCTCTATGCTCGAAATCTCTAAGAACACATTCACGAATGAAGATGAACGACGACATTACTATTCTTCACCAATATCATCGACATATCTCGATCCAAATTCTAATCGATTAGGCCTCATCTTCTCCATCACGAATGAAGATGAACACCTTCACGAATGAAATTGAAATCTGTAAGTTCTTCAATCTCGACCCAGATTAGTAGCAATAATAGAATTTACATCTCCTCCCGTCACGAAGTTTCTCGGCTCACGATTCCGGTTCACGAAGTTTCTTGGTTCCAAAATCAACTCTTCTTCCGATTGGTGCTCCTCCCCTGCTTGACTCCGATTCCTGAAGCGATCACTGACATTTCTTTTAGCGCCGACTACCCCACAACTCTATTATCGACATCTCAATCGATCATCTGCTCCTTCACCGGTATCCCTTTAATCGATATCCCTCTAATGCACTTCTGTTTTTATTTGTGTATAAACCTTTAATCGATTTTAAAAACTGCAATTTGCATCTCGATGTGGTAATCAGTAGATGTTTTGTGATTTCGAATTGAATTCACAGACACTGTGAATTGTTGGTGTCGATAGTGCTTACTAGTTATGATTTTGGATTGGAATTACAGGTTAGTGTCTCGATTATCAGTATCAAGAACAGAATTCGAATTGTGGTTTGATGAGAAATGGAAAAATTACTAAAGCAGTCCACCTGTTCGATGAAATGCCTGAGTGAGATGTTCTTTCATATACCGCATTATTGATGGGTTTGTAAAGAGAAGCAAGATCATGCGAGGGAAACAGATGGTCCTCCATCACATAATGAGGCATTCAAAACATAAAGAAAGAGAATATTAACTCTGATTCAAGTGGAGAGGGCTCACATTTTCCAAATCTGAGTAGGTTGACAAGCATGAGTTTGTTGTAAGTGATTGTAAAATTTAATAAAGTTTAACAAGTTCTTTAATTCAAAACTTATATATTCAAGATTTGTGTGGATGTTGCAGGGTGTTGAATTGTAACATGTATTTGAATTGGCTTTATTTCACAAGAACACTAGAAAAAGAGTCAAACCATGTAGTTGAATTGTTCTTATTTACTCATATTTTTTATGATTAAAGTTATATTTATTAATATATTTTTAATAATTAATGGTCCCCGATTAATCCCCAGATTAATCCCCGCCTAGCCGATTAATCTCTTGACCCCAGTCCACCGATTAGCCTACGTCGAGCGATTTCTGCAACCTTGGAAAAAAGTATTAGTTAAACGTATAAAAATTAGTATTTTATTATAAATATTAAATTGACAAATACCTATTCCATTGATCCAGGTTCTCCACCACCCACAAAAATTCCTTGGTGACTTTATCATTAAGCTCCTTTCCCAAAAAACCTTGATTGAGGATATATAGCAAAATGGCACGGACACCGTCGTGAGCCGATATGTCATTGAACCGTTGATTCAAGATAAGGAGCTCCAAATCTTCTACAAGTAAAGAAGTGTCCGTGCGATATGGGAAGACTCTGGACCGAAATGTATTTTCACCATATCCGTGTTTATACATGGTTGAAAATTCGATCCTTGATGTAGGACACCGGCCCATGTAAAGTCCGGTCACAAGACAAAACTCCTCTGGCCCAAATGATAGTGTACGTCTAGAAAACCTAAAATATAGACGCTCAGTTGCGTCCGTTTCAGCAGTAGGACGCAACATATGCAGTAACAGCCCATGAATAAGAAGTCTGTCTCCGGACTGAGCTGGTAGGTCCAACAAGTAACCGAAGCTAGTTGTTGAAAAAAGATCGCGCATGGGTCCATTCAAGCGACTCAAAACTTCATGCAATTTATGGCATGAAGCTTTGACAAATAAGTGACCCATCATCGTTTTGTTTGGAAGCTACAAAATTAAATAAACATTAAGGTTAAATAAAGTTTTATAAAAGAAAAAAAACTGATAAACAATTAGAGAAAGCACACAATATAATACTTAATCATTTCATATATTCTGTTTACTTTGTATAAAATACCAAAGGAAATTAATTGACTACATTTTTTTGTATTTTCTATACTACTAGTATACCAAATTTAGCATTGTACTTTGAAAATGGTGTGACAATAACATATTTTATAACAAACCCGAAAGTATCAAAACACAATGTTATTTTATCAATACAGTATACTTCAAAGTATCTACACATTATAAACATAAAAATTTATTCAAATCGATAGTACATTGCTATTGTATGCTATAACTAAGACATAGAAAATAACATCATTTTTAACAACATGCAAACATTGAATCATAACATACATACAAGGGGATACAATCCTTAAAAATACGTTTAAACAATTTTTTTTTGAAGAAAAATGAAAAAAATATATATAAAACCATAGGTTTTAGGAAACCTACGATTTTTTTTCCAACAAAAAATCATAAGATACATACAAGAGGATACAAATGTTTATTAGTTATAATTTTTTTTATTAAAAAAAACCGTATTTTTTGGGAAACCTACGGTGTACAAGTGTTTACTGCACAAACTGTGCAGTAAATGCTTGTACACCGTAGGTTTCCAAATAACCTACGGTTTCCTTTTTTTTTTTTTTTTTGTTTTATAAAAAAAAATTATACGACTACAAAATACATAAAGTTACGATCCTATTGAATCGATTTAAAAAAAAACGAAAAAAAAAATTCCGTACGGTTCATACGAAACCGTAGGTGTACAAGTCGACACTGCACAATCTGTGCATTGGGCACTTGTACACCGTAAACCTACGGTTTTATATTTTATTTTTCGATTTTTTTCAAAAAAAATTTAACCACATATACAAAACCTACTCCTAATCAAAAACACGATAAAATTTTGATGAAAAGTAGACAACCCTGGTTGTTATTCGGGTGCTCCATTGAGAGAAAAAAGTTGCCAAACCAAAGAAAACAAAAGGAAAAAAGACCTAAACTGAATTTTTTTTCATTATATACTTTGGGCTAATGAGCCACGAAAAAGTAAACGGACCCATGAAACAGTAGCCCATTACCACGAAATAGTACTTTTCGGCCTAAAACAGTAGTCAACGACATTGACCGTAGTCAACCATAAGTTGACTACGGTTTTATGGGCTATTTTGGCTAAGTGGTATTTTTTGGTTATTTTTTGATAAGTAATTAACAAAAATAGCTAGATTTGTATTTTCCCCGTTAATTTATCACCAAATTTTTTTGAACAAAAACCATATATTCTGATGTGAGAACAACTATCTAAAAAGGTTATTTAAGGAGAATCTTTTATATAAACTAAAATATTTCTTTTAAAAAGATTACAATAAATTTTTTATAATAAATGCCAACGACTTATTTATTTATACAAAATTTAGAAGTTGGCTGAACACCTCCACATGTTGAGGCTGCGTATCCAAACTTCCAAACACCAGCATCGATCGTCGGCGTAATTTGTGTAATTTTACGGAGATGGAGAAGAGAAGATGAGCTCCTTATATACACACACGTATTACAGAAGCTGATAGTCAAGAATGGAGAATATCGTTCTAAATTGAGCACACATATAGATCTTCTACATCAATGGCGTCTCTGAGGAGTTTACTTGGTAACTTTTCATGTTTTGACGCCTATTGCATATCTTCTAGCATCAACTTGTTGCTAACTGTATGCAGTTTTTGAGAATTTCGTTTTTCGCTACGTATATCCTAATTTTTATATTAATTTTAGGTTTTCAAAGGCATAATTCCAAACTGCATGTGCTAATTGTTTCTGTACAACGGTGCATTTGCAGGTGGATGCATTTGTGACGATGAATGTGATTTGCAATCACCAGGAAGTCAACGAATCATCTTAGATTTGTTGAACTTGCTGTTTGTCATCGTGTTCTGTTCGATTTTATTAGTTGTTTATCTGAAGAAATGTGGAGTAGGAGAGAATCGGTACAGGAGAAGCGACTGGATTTCTGTATCAGTCGCTATCTGCTGTTTTCTAACCGGCGGTGCTTATCTTGGCCATTGTTTATGGGAAATGATTGCTAGAACTAGGAGCTTCAATTGTTCAGATTGGGTGATGAACATTGGTAGGGTACTTATATGGTTAACTTTGACAGTTTCATTGCTTGTAGAAAGATCAAAATTCATCAAAACTTTAGTCTCTGTTTGGTGGATGTTACTATTTGTGTTTATATCCACCATAGAAATCGAGAATTTAGTAGAGAAACACAGCATCTTAGTGTTGGAGGTTATAGAATGGATAGCTAGCTTCTTTCTTTTCTTCTGTGCTCTGAGAAATGGCAAAGAATTTGTCACTCAACAGGCACCAAACACCTTATTAGATCCTCTATTGGCCAACGAAACCAAGAAAGGGAACACAAATCAACTAAAAGAGCCTAGTTTTTTAAGCAAATTGGTATTTTCTTGGGTTAACCCTTTAATTTCCTTAGGTTATAGAAAGCCACTAGTTCTTGAAGACATTCCCTCTCTAGCACCTAAAGACCAAGCTATAGTTGCCTATAACCAATTCAAAACAGCATGGGACTCACTTCAGAGGGAGAAGACCTCAAATGATGCTAACCTAATTGTCAGGGCATTAAAAAGAGTTTATTGTACTGAAATGGTATTGCTAGGAATTTATGCATTGCTTAGAACTATAGCAGTCATAGTTGGTCCATTGTTACTCTATGCCTTTGTTAACTATTCCAATCAAGAGACAGAAAATTTACAATATGGACTCCTATTAGTAGGATGCCTGATTGTAGTCAAGGCAGTTGAATCTTTATCTCAAAGACACTTCTTCTTTGATGCAAAAAGAACAGGCATGAGGATGAGATCAGCTTTAATGGTGGCAGTATATGAGAAACAACTCAAGCTTTCTAGTTTAGGGAGGAAAAGACATTCTACAGGGGAAGTTGTAAACTACATTGGTGTTGATGCATATAGAATGGGTGAATTCCCTTTATGGGTTCATGTAGCTTGGACTTCTTTCATCCAACTCTTTCTAGCCATTGGTGTCCTGTTCTCTGTAGTAGGAGTTGGTGTTCTCCCTGGATTAGTTCCTCTCCTCCTGTGTGGGCTTCTAAATGTGCCATTTGCAATAGCACTTCAGAAATGTCAACTTCAGTTTATGGTTGCTCAAGACAAGAGACTAAGGTCAACATCTGAGATCCTAAACAATATGAAGATCATTAAATTACAATCATGGGAAGAGAAATTCGAGGGTTTCATTGAGTCTTGTAGAGAAACCGAATTCAAATGGCTAAGTGAATCTCAATATAAAAAGGCTTATGGTTCAATTTTGTATTGGATGTCACCAACTATCATTTCTTCAGTTATTCTATTTGGGTGTGCATTTTTCAAGAGTGCCCCTTTGAATGCTGCCACAATTTTCACAATTTTGGCAACTTTAAGAACAATGTCTGAGCCAGTCAAATACTTTCCACAAGCTCTTTCAATGTTGATCCAGAGTAAAGTTTCATTCGATAGGATCAATTCTTTTCTTGTTGAGAATGAGCTAAAAAATGAGGGGATTGGAATCATCCATTCCGACATTCAGAAACATTCAGGTACCTGTGTCAGTATACAACATGGCAATTTCAGTTGGGATCCGGAATCACCCTTTCCGACTCTAAAAAACATAAATATAGAAGTTACTAGGGGACAGAAAGTTGTAGTTTGTGGGCCAGTTGGTGCTGGAAAATCATCACTATTGTATGCTATACTCAGAGAAATAACCAAAACTTCGGGAAATGTGAGTACACAAACAACTTTTTTTAAATTTCACTATAATATGTAAATTTCTAAAGCTTATTGCTTTTTCTTGCAAGCAGGTGGATGTTTTTGGATCAATTGCTTATGTTAGTCAAGCTTCATGGATTCAAAGTGGGACAATTCGGGATAACATACTTTTTGGGAAGGCAATGGACACAATCAGATATGAGAATGCCATAAAATCATGTGCTCTAGACAAGGATATTAATGATTTCAACCATGGTGATCTAACAGAAATAGGTCAAAGGGGACTTAATATGAGTGGTGGGCAAAAACAGAGGATTCAACTCGCCCGAGCAGTCTACAGTGATGCTGACATATATCTTCTTGATGACCCTTTCAGTGCTGTAGATGCTCATACAGCAGCAACCCTTTTTAATGTTAGCTTCTACAATTTCAATTTTTTTTTTGTTATGATTGTCTTTTTGGTAATTATATTTGAATTATTTAACTTTCAGGATTGTGTTATGACAGCTTTAAGGGAGAAAACAGTCATTCTTGTCACTCATCAAGTGGAGTTTCTCTCAGAGGTTGACAATATTCTGGTAATGAGAGGGTAATCAAAGTCCTTTTTACATATTTAACGTATCTTAATACTAGTCTCATTATTTTCTGTTATTGATTTAAGGTGATGGAAGATGGTGAAATTACTCAATCGGGTCTCTACAATGACCTCATAAAGGCAGGGACAGCTTTTGAGCAGCTTGTGAATGCTCACAAGAATGTGATAACAGAATTAGAGTCTTCATCTTATGAAAAGAAAAACACCCCTTTAAAAGAAACAATTAGTTTAAATCATAGAAATGAAATTAATGAAATATCAAAGTCAACCATACAGTTGACTGAAGAAGAAGAGAAGCCAATTGGTAATATTGGGTGGAAGCCTTTCTTGGATTACATAGTTATCTCAGAAGGTGGATGCTACTTTTTCTTGAGCCTGGTGACTCAGATTGTTTTTTCTGGTCTTCAGGCTGCAGCTAGTTATTGGCTAGCTTTTGCCATTAAAATTCCTACAATCAGCAGTTTCATGTTGATTGGTGTTTATGCATTAATTTCAACCACAAGTGCCTTTTTTGTTTTTTTGAGAGCTTTATTCACTACCCTTTTGGGATTACAAGCCTCTCAAGCCTTCTTCTCAAAGTTTACACAGTCAATCTTCAAGGCACCCATGCTATTCTTTGACTCTACACCAGTTGGCCGGATTCTGACACGAGTAAGGCCTTTTGTTTTTGTCTGAATAATACAAGCAAATGCCCATTTAACCCTATTGTTTATGGGAAGTGATTTGTACACAACACTTTTTATCCATACACCACAATTTATGCTTTAGAGGGATTGTACAATATGCATAAAAACATATCATTTTTGTGTATGGATAACAAGTATTGTGTACAAATCACTTCCCATTGTTTATAGAAAGTATTTTTTTGGACAGAGTGAATTATCTGAATACGAGCAAAATGACAATTTTACCCTTTTCTGTATGGATAAAGTACTACAGACAAAATCTGTTTCTTTGGACTGAATGAACTGTCTGAATACCACCAAATGACCGTTTTACGCTTTTATTTATGTGATGCAAATATGATTCATATGCAATTAAATTATATACCAACAAAGAAGTTTAGCATTTGAACATATTCACCAAACAAAAACAAGATTTTTATATCTCAAATTACTCCTGCAGGCATCAACAGATATGAGTGTAGTGGATTTTGACATACCCTTCTCGTTTGCTTTTGTGGTAATTTCTGGTATTGAATTGCTCACCACAATCACCATCATGGCATCAGTTACATGGCAAGTCCTCATTGTAGGCATCTTTGCTACAATAGCTACAAAGTATTTCCAGGTGAATTTTTTTACCTTTTTTACTTTTACTTTTACAAAACATAAAACAAAATCCATGTAAGTACATAACATATTCAATCTTCTTGGTGTCTGTGCATACAGGGGTATTATCAACCATCTGCAAGAGAACTTATCAGAATCAATGGAACAACAAAAGCACCTGTGGTAAATTATGCATCCGAAACATCACAGGGGGTGGCTACAATAAGGGCGTTTAAAAAAGAAAAAATGTTCTTCAAAAATTATTTAAAACTTGTAGATATTGATGCAAGCACTTTCATTTTCACAAACGCGACATTGGAGTGGTTGGTGTTGAGGGCAGAAGCACTTCAAAATCTGACACTTTTTACAGCTGCTTTTTTCCTGGTTCTACTTCCAAAGGGGTATATTCCTCCAGGTATCCATGTTTCCATCATATATTAAAACTTTGTTATCATAAGTTTTAAATCAAATTAACTTATTTAAATTTTTTTTTAGGGTTAGTTGGGCTTTCACTTTCGTATGCATTGGCGCTTACGAATGCCCATGTGTTTTTAACACGATGGTATTGTAGTCTGTCCAATTATGTAATTTCAGTAGAAAGGATAAAACAATATATGCATATTCCACCAGAGCCTCCAGCAATTGTGGAGGATAATAGGCCACCACCTTCTTGGCCTTCAAAGGGTAGAATCGTCCTTCAGGATGTCAAGGTCAAGCTCACTTGCATAAAACTAACAAAATGATTCAATATAAAAATGCTTTTTTATAGCCTACATGATTTTGGCTAAAGTTGCACAGATACCATTAAGACTAGTTTCAGTTTTGGACTATTTTGCCCATCTCTAATTAATATTGTTGGGTGTGTGTTTCAGATTAGGTATCGGCCAAATGCGCCACTGGTTTTGAAAGGAATGAGTTGCACCTTCAAGGAAGGGACACGAGTAGGGATTGTTGGAAGGACAGGAAGTGGCAAAACTACCCTTATAACTGCTCTTTTTCGTTTAGTAGAACTTGATAGTGGAAGAATTTATATAGATGGTTTGGACATTTGCTCCATAGGCTTAAAGGACCTCAGAATGAAACTAAGTGTCATCCCTCAAGAACCTACTCTTTTTAAGGGTAGTATCAGAACAAACCTTGACCCCTTAGGACTTCACTCCGATCATGACATATGGGAGGTAAAAAAAATATAAATAAAATTTATATTAAATTTTCGGAAAATTTTATTATTAATTTGACTGAATCTTTCAGGCATTGGAGAAATGCCAGCTTAAGAGTACCATTAGCAGTCTCCCAAACTGTTTAGATTCATCTGGTAACAACACTGTAGAATTCAAATTCCAATTCCATCAGATTCTAATATGTATATGTTTTTTATTGTACAACAGTGAGTGATGAAGGAGAAAACTGGAGTATGGGTCAACGACAGCTGTTCTGTTTAGGAAGAGTGTTGCTTAGGCAAAACAAGATCTTAATTCTTGATGAAGCAACTGCATCTATTGATTCAGACACTGATGCCACTGTACAAAGGATTATAAGGCAAGAATTCTCAAGTTGCACTGTTGTAACAGTCGCTCATAGGATTCCAACTGTTATAGACAGTGACATGGTCATGGTCCTCTCCTCTGGTATGTTATCTTATTCTTCACAAACCCATATATCTCATAAAATGACACAATTACCCTCTACAAAAAAAATAAAGTTTCATGTATAATAGGTGAAATGATGGAATATGATGAGCCCTCGAAGCTAATGGAGTCGGATTCTTATTTCTCAAAGCTTGTTGCTGAGTACTGGTCCAGCTGCAGGAGATGATCCACGGGTAATTTCTTTTCAACTTAAAAATAAAAGTAAAACTAAAATTTCTTATTATTCGTTATATGTATGTATATGTATATATGTATATGTATGTGTATATATGTATACACATATACATATATATCTGTTAATTCATTATTCTTTATGAAGATTTGAACTTGGTACTTGGTAGTAGATGATAATAATGAAAATCTGGAAGAACAATGTGTGCAAGTTATACAAAAATTTCGAAAGGGTATTTTGGGTACTTGGTAGTAGATGTTAACCCACAAGAATAATCGTTACTGCATGATTGGGTGAAACTTATTGTTGTTCTTAAGCTTTTTTTTTTTCTCTTTAATTATTGTAGTGTGATAAAGGGTATTTTAGGTACTTTACATGTCATTCTAATCTTGTGGGTTAACATATTAATCATTTTCTTAAAGGGTAGTGATTTGTACACAATACTTTTTAGCCATACATAACAATTTATGTTTTAGATGATTGTACTGTATAACTGTATAAAGCATAATTTGATCATTTTTAGATGTTAAATGACCGTTGTTATTACTTGCTTGTTGTGTTCCTTCAAGTATAAAGGAACTAGGTTAATGTCCGTTATGTAGAATTAAAATTATGTAAATAGAATATTGAGAAATATTTTTTAACAGCAACTATTTCATTGCAATTAACTATTAAATAATAGTTCATATACTAAATTAAAAACTTGATATAAAATACTGCTATTATTTTGAACCATATGATAAAAGAGACATCATTAGAATGTTGGGTGTTGAATATTTATGGTAGTTAAATTATTAATTTATTTTGCAAAATAACATTCAAATCCTGATTCCGGTGTCATCTATTCATGGGTCACGCATGAAAAAAATTATGTATATTTTGTTTAATCTTGTTTTTAACTATTGTTATAGTTAAATGATTTTAAAACTATGTCTTTGACCACTATTGTAATAGATACACAAATAATTATTTGTATTGATAAATAATATAAAATTTAAACATCCAGATGTTTCATTATACTTATCTTGAATAGTCTAATTGGTTTTATACATTGAGCCCTTGTTTGTTTTTTAAAAGGTAAAATATCTACAGTCTTGTTCCACATTTGCAGAATATGTGGACCAGAATTTTGCAGTGTGCAAAAGATTTTAGATATGCATTTTCTTTTTTTGCAGGCTACATGACCAATAAACAATAGATATGCTTATTTGTGTCACATTCAACATCAAAACTTGTGCATACCTGAAAATTAAAATACAAGGATACATGATCACAAAAAAAGAACATTGATATTTTAGTCTATTACAATCTCTTTCGGTATGGATTGTCAAGTATGTGGCTACTGATCTTGACATTCAGGTCTCATGTACAGACCATATGTTTAAAACATATATACATCAGTTTTGGTTTGATACATACCTAATCTATGGCAAGACAATCCATACAATATATACCAAACCTCATTACATCTTAGATTGTCCTTTCATTTTTTACGATATAATAAAGACCTAACATCCACACACATGAGGCGTTGCATTCATATCAAAATTGAGCTTTGACTTTAATAGTCAAATTGGGGGAATCAAATTGTATAGGATTTTTTTTGGTAAGCACTACATAACAAATCCCAAACCACCAAAACAAGTTTTTTATAGCTTAGATTCTTTGAGAGAGGACTCAACCCACTCCCACGTCATTTTTCTTTTATTTTCTCTCACTTCTATCTTGTCCAACCCATAATACATGGAAACTTTATCTTTTCCAACCCACTTTCCACATCATTCTTTTTTATTTAATTAAATTATAAATTAAAAAATAAAATAAAACATAACATTTTTTTCATTTAAAAATTAAATTTTGCTAATTAAAAAAAATCTAAAATAATATTAAATTAAAAAACCACACTACAAATAAAAAAAATACACGATAATTATAAAACATGATAATTAAAAAAATACACTTAAAAAAGACTACATAATTTAAATCCTAAAACAACAATTAAAATTAACTAGTTATTATCTAGAGTTGGAATGTAGACATGTTTAATGTGATCAGTAAGATCGGATCGAAGCTGGAGGTGGGTTTCATCATTGCGTAATTCATGTACTATTTCTTGATCATCGACTTCGTCGGTGGGAGGATCCGACTGATACACAGGAGATATCGCAGCACCCTCATCTTTCAATATCATATTGTGTAGTATAATACAAACGTACATTATATTTTTTGTTTTCTTCATCGTCATAGACCGTGAAGACATTTTTAATATGTCCCAACGTCCTTTAAGGACCCTAAAAGCACATTCTACGTCCTTTCTTGCTGATTCTTGCGCTGCCTTGAACCGTATCTTTTTTTTTTTCTGGTTAATGGATATGGATATGCATTCACAAATACAACCCATGATGGATATATTCCATCCGCAAGATAGTAACCATGTTTGTAGTGTTCATCATTCAGATAAAATGAACAAATCGAGTCCTGTTCCATGATATTTCTCATCAAACTGTGGTGATTGGTAGAGGATGTTTAAATCATTGTTCGAACCGGCTACACCATAGAATGCATGACAAAACCATAAATCTTGTGATGTCACCGCTTCTAGTATCATTGATGTATACCGATGGTCACCCTCATGTATTGGCCTCTCAATTCCGTTGGATAATTCCTCCGATTCCAATGTGTGCAATCAATGCTACCAAGCATTCTAGGGAATCCATGTCTAGCTTCATGTGCTTCATACAAAAGTTGAATGTCAATGGATGTTGGACGGCGTAAATATTCAGCCTTATACATTTGGACAACACCATAGCAAAAGTTTTCAAGAGCTTCACGAGAAGTTCTTTCTGACATATTCAGATACTCATATAAAGAGTTTGGGTTATAACCCTTCGCTAATTGACGTATTGCTAATGTGCATTTTTGTAGCACACTGAAACTTCTCTGATTTGTTGCATCCCATGTTGTTTGAAAATAAGGATAATTCATTTCCAGGTCACCAACAAGTCGCATAAACAAACCTTTGCCCACACGAAACCTTCTACGGAATTGTGCGTGACCATAGGTTGAATCATCCTCAAAATAATGTCGGATCACCGGTCGTTCAACATCTAAACGATCTCTGTTGATTATGTTTCTCCTTTGAATGTTGCTTGAACTAACATTATTCTAAAGAATAAAATTGTGCAGTATGAGACAATACATGTAACAAATTATTGTTGATAAGTTCATCCTTAGATGATGAACTATCATCGTTAACTTCCATTACTATTTTCCGAACGTTTGGATTCATTTTGAAAAGAGAGAAAAAAGATAAGAGAGAAAATGAAACAAGCATATATATATATATATATATATATATATATATATATATATATATATATATATATATATATATATATATATAATGAAACAATGGTACATATGATAATCTTAATAAAAATAAAAGAAAAAGAAAAAACATAATAATAAAAAGAAAAATTCTCCAATCAAATGATGCCGACATTATGAACTTCACGAGTTTACAACTTCCAAACATACTTAGTTGCAATTTGTCGTTTCCTTTCAAGCACCATACGCAAAATACCTCTAGTCAAATGATCATGCGATCGGAGAAAATACTTCATATCTTGGTTCTCTATCTCCCGATCTAACAGTTGAGCTTTTCATTCTTCATTAGCTTCGAGAATGTGCAATTTTTGTTCCCCGTACCGTTGTCTCTGTTCCGCCTCTGTTTCAGTTGCAGTCTTGATACCGACAATTTGGCCGAGATCAAACATTTCATTTTTTGTTGATGATGCTGAACGACTGTTGTTGGGGGGAGAATCATGGAGGATACTGTGGACCAGAAGATGATGTGTAGGCATTGGGTGGAGATGTTTTGGTTCGTTTTGAAGAAGGAGGCAGGGGAAGTCTTCACCATCTTTTGTAACCAGTGCCCATTTCGCGTTGTCTTTTAACCACCCCCAAGCTTGATGATAAGGAAAACCTTTCTGATTAATAGTCCTCTGATACTCGCTTAGTGAAGATTGTAAAACATTAGCACCAGATTTCCCACTAGCCACACTGCTCATCTTACGGTTATAGATGTCGTTGAAAGCGTTACATTTCTTTTGGAGGTCTTACCATTTTGAGTTTACTTGGTGTCGCGACCGATCTGAACCTCTAATTTGAATACTAAAATGCTCTAGAACCCTCTCCCAAAATGCATCGAACATTTGTTGATTTCTGTGTTGTTTATCTTTAGAAACATCAACATATGCCCTAGCCAAAGCTAACTCTTCGCGTTCTACCCAGTTCTTTCGCTTCTGGTGGTGTGTATAGTTGCGTTTTTTTCTCAGCAACGGGTTGCAACTCCTCGTTGGTTTGTTCGTTTCTTTCGGGAGCCGGGTTGTCACTAGAACTGTCAGATTCTATGTTCTGAGCATCACGAAACTGGAAATTCTCGGGTTGAGAAGATTCGAATTGGGTTTCTGGAACCCTTTGAGAAAACTGATTCCATGGATTATTACTCTGATTTTCTTCTGGAAGCCTAAATGTGTTGTAAGATTGTTGCACCGAAAAATATTGTTGTTGGTAGTTTTGGTTTTGTTGGTAGTTTTGATAGTTTTGGTATTGCTGATAGTTTGTATTTTGAAAATCTTGAGAAAAAAATGGAATATCTTGACTTGAACCGCCTTGTATGGCTTTGTGTTTTTGGCTAGAACTGCTTTGTCTAGCTTTGCCTCGAGAATTCATTGAAGATAATTAAATGAATTGAATGAAGTGGTAGATTTGATATTGTTTATACTTTTGGTTATATATCTGTTCAATCTTGAAATATATATGTTATATAAACAACAAAAAAATAAATAAATAAATATTATTCAAGATTCTCTGCAAAGGCATTATACAGTCAAATTCAAATTCACATTGAAGATAATTAAAGGAATTGAATAAAGTGGTAGATTTGATATTGTTTATTTGTTTTATTCAAAAAAAAACAAATGAAAAATAAAATAAAATAAATGAACTAACGCGTACATGCATGCAAAAATTAAAGTAATGAATAAATGGCAAGGAATAAATGTATTGGAGGGAATCAATGCTTACATGCATTGAATGGTAGTCAACAAATTTTACTCAAAGTCTTTGGGTTCATCAAACCGATTAAATGCAATAAAAAGTTGAAGCCGTTGAACCTAGGGATGAGCATCGGAAGCGGGTACTTGCTTTCGGAACCGGAACCGCCTCGGAACTGCCGGTTCCGGAACCGGAACTGCCTTAGGCGGTTCCGGTTCCGGTTCCTAAAGTCTAGGAACTGCTTTAAGCGGTTCCGGTTCCAATTCTTATTTTTACGAAACCGATACCCGCTGGATATCCGCCGGTTCCGGTTCCAATACCGGGTACCCGGAACCGGCGGTTAACCGGAACCGGTACCGACGGGTACCCGTCTTTTTCTAAAAAAATATATATTTAATTATTTATATATTGATGATTTTTTGTTTAAAAATGAAAATAACTATTAAGTCTTTTTCTAATAATGGGACTACTTAAGTCGTTTTTAGGGTTTTGTGATTCATTCTTCCAGAAAAACGCCGACACCAATTCTTTCCTTCACAACTTCACTCTCGTCTTCTACTCGTCACTCTCGCTGTCTCGCATATCGGAGTATCATACCTGTCGTCTTCGTCGGCTGTGGGTGGAGTGTTGTTGCCACCAGACATGATGGCAGCAAGAGGACTGTTGATTGGAATGAAGAACGAGAGGGAGAGGGAAAGCAGTAGCAGCAGGCGACAGAAGTAGGTGGTAGAGAAGGTAGCTATTTATTTCATCCCATTTTTTAAACTTCTATGTTTCTGCTCATGTCACTCGTCACTCTTTCATATCAGAGTATCATACTACAACGATTACAAGTATGTGAAGCTCCATTCGAGTTCAATCGCCGTTCATCTCGTCAAATCGTAACCCATGCTGTTCAATCGCCACTCATCTTTGTTCAGTGAGTCGCTTCTTTTTAATTGTAGACCATTCCCGCTCAATCGAAGGTTTAATATACGACAACAAGTCTTTATCAGGTCTGATTCTTACTGTTATGTAAATGTGAAGTTAATTTTGTAGATTCTTTAAATTCTGCTATATACTCCCTCCGTCCCAATATTATTGTTTACAGACAAAAAACACACATATTAAGAAAAACATTAATTACCACTAACTTTATTTAATAAAATGACAGTTTTGTCCTTACTTTGCATTTAATGTTCCATTAAATGCTTAATTGGTTAAATAATAATGAGGGGTATTTTGGTAAAAATGTTATTTATTTTTAGAAGTGGACTATTTTTTTGGGACAAACCAAAAAAGAAAGATGGACTATAATTTTGGGACGGAGGGAGTAATATGTAAATATGTGAAGTTTTACTCTGTTACTTGAAATTTTGAGTATTGAATTCGTTATTGCTTTAATATATCGATTGTAGTTATGTAATATGTAAATATGTTCATTGATCCTTCATCCTTGGTTATGTTCTATAGGACATTGACCGATCCGGTTGCACTGATTAAGTGTTTCAAATCTATCAAGAATCATGCCTTCACAACTTGTAATTACCCTAGAAGACAACCTTACTCCAGATCTTTCAGGCTAAGTAGCTAAGGTGAGTAATTCTCTCATTGTTTCTCATTTATGATTCTGTAAAAAACTTATTCTTGGTCTAATCATGTGTATGTCTGTGTTTATCTTCTGAAAGTTCTCTGCCAGTACCCACAATTTTGGGTTTTCTTTTTTTAGATCTGGTACTGGATGAGAATGGGACAGTTTCGATGCAAGAATAAAAAATACTTCAAATTGTTCTTTTAGATTTGGCTAAGATCAGGTAACACCAATTTAAGGGTCTTATTATTTCCATAAGTTTGCTCAGTATTTGTCCAATTTATGACGTTTCTTGATAGTTTCTTGATATTTGACATGTTTATTTGAACAGGTTCTAATGGAATCTCATCTTTGTGGTCTTCATCTATGGTATTGGAACCTCACATCTTAGTTTTTGTTGACAAAATCTTTATGGATTATTTCTTTTGTAGATGTAATTACAAGGTAGGATGTCCCACCACTTCAGAGAGATGCGTGAAGGTGTTGCTGTTGTTGCTGCCGCTGCTGTTGCTGATTTGTGTTGTTGCTGTTTATTGTTGATGTTTTGTTGTTACTATTGCTGTTTTTTGCTGTTACGATTGATGTTTTTGCTATTTTTATTGTTGCTGTTTTTGTTTTTATGAATTGTTTTTAATAGCTTGTTTTTTAAAAGATCAATTTTTGTAAATGTTTTGGTTTTATATCTTGTTCTTGTATTATTTGTATAGATTAATTTACATAGTTTACATGGCATGCATATAGTAACAAGTTTTAATACTCAAGAAGCCGGGTATCCGGAACCGGTACCGGTTCCGGCGGTTCCAAGAGCGGTTCCAATTTTCTAGGAACCGGTGTAGGCGGTTTCGGTTCCAATTCCAAAAACTAAAGAACCGCCGGTTCCGGGAGCGGTTCCGGTTCCGGCAAAATAGGCGGGTACCCGGTTTTGCTCATCCCTAGTTGAACCCATTCAACAAGGGGAGGTTTTCCTGATGATGGGTGTCGCCAACGGAGAGAAGAAAGTCGATCATATTTGTGGAGTTGTCGCCGGTGGAGGCGTGGACGACCAACGGAGCTTGAGGAAAGGCCGGCAAGGGTGTGTTCTCCGACGGTGTGTTGTTGAAACAAGTACGAGGCGTAAAAATAGGCTTACAAAGTTAGAAGACATTTGCAAGGATGGAAGCTTATTTTTATGTTCTATGGAAAAGAAGTCATCAAGACTTTTTATTATTATTATTATTTCTAGAGTCTTTTGAAACAAACAATTATTTTTTGAAATATTTGCCCGCCCTTAATGATAAAAAAGATCTATAAAAAAAACAAACTCTACCTGTGAATCAAGAAACTTTCTTTTATAATGTTGTTTCTCGAATAAAAACGTCTCACGGAAAATAGAAATGTATACTAAATAACATAGTGAGGTCAGTCATTACTGTTCAACAATTCATTACTCTATTCAATGTTATAATTTTTAATTAAGCAATTAAAATGTATATTTCTAGAAGATAATGAATAAAAAAAATCCAAATTAATATGATAAAAAATAAATACTATCGTGAACCATTTTAAATGACATGCTATTAACAAAATTCTTAAAATCAACATGGTTATTATAAAAGATGTCCCTTATTTATATATCATCGGTTTTTAACATATTTTTCAAAATTAAATTTCACATTTTGACTAGGGTTTGGATTTTAAAGTAAATGCTCGGTTTTGTTTTTTTTTTTTTTTGAAACTGTAAATGCATAAATATTAGATCAAAAAACCAAACCATTAGCAAAAAGCTAGGGAAAGGAATGCAAGGGAAAACAAAACAGACAATTTACAGGCATAAATCAAAACAAAACCAAACAGTCAAGAGAAACGATTGTAGCCACCAAATGGGGAACACATTCAATCAGTCCAACTCTTTCCAGTATTACCCCTGTACTTAAACCAATCAAAAGTCTGCAATAATAAGATCCAACGTTCTTGTAGGAGAAACATTGCTTTTGTTGAAAATTTTATTATTTGGGGCTAACCAAATATTCTAAAGTGAGGAGTAGAGAATCCCGATAAGTGAGAGTCTTTTTTTGGACAATTTCCCCAAGAAGGAGCAAAATCAACCAATTCCCAAACGTTTGCACATTGAACACCTTGTATCTCGCACCACCTCAGGATCCAAAACCAAATTGTTTTAGAGAAATTGCATTCCATTAGAAGATGTGAAACAAATTCATCTTCCTGCCCACATAATTGACAACACAAATGTTGGACCAAAATGCCCCTATGACCAAGAGTTGCAGCAACAGGAATTCTCCCCAAGGCAGCCTTCACGAAACATTTAACTTTGAAAGGAATGATTTTCGACCAATTTATCAAAGGCCCAATGGGCTGTGATTGTTTCGTGTCTATCAGTTATCTCAACTCAAGGTACTGATGGTCAGGTAGATTCCGTCCCTATTCAGATTGAAACGAAAATAAATAGCTGAAGAGAAATTGAAATTGAAATGAGTTGAAACAATTAAGGCGTAAAATTACTTCAAACCATAGATGTCCTTGCTCATTTTTTAGTCTCCCGTCTCCATCACCACTTGACTAGGAGTGCAATGTTTTGAGCATATAATGATCCAACTCCTAGACCACCCAATATTTTTCCCAACAACTATCTTGGACCAATCCACCCAACGAATCTTTCTTTTTTCGTCATTCCCACCCCATAGAAATCGCCGTCTCATTTTTTCCAAAGAATCTAAAATACCTTGGGGAGCCTTAAACAAGGAAAAATAATAGGTGGGGAGGCTATTAAGAACATATTTTACCAGAGTCAATCTACCACCAAAAGATAGTGTGTTTACTTTCCATAAAGAAAGTTTAGCCTGAAACTCAGAACCGGTTTCCAGTTCTTTTTATGTAGCATATTGGCACCCACCGGAACTCCGATATAAATGCTACCCTAAAAAGACATTGTTTTTAGTGAATGATGACTATGGTGTGAACATAAAGTTAGATAAGGTTATATACAAATTTTTTAGGAGACAGACAATATATACAAATTATATATGTTAGAAAGGTATTTTTGTTTGGGGGATTGAACATTTTGAGTAAGTTATTAGTAGAAGAGTAGCGATGCGTTCTAGATCAAGTGACTTAAGCTTATTTAAACACACGGAGAAAGAAATTAACCATTTCATAGACGTTGTGGTATTCAAGATAAGTTACTAGTTTATTGTACCGATAAGTGTTCATTTGGTTACTCACATCTTCCGATCTAGATCAAAGATTGTGAGTATTTTGAATGGTTTGCTTAAGAACTAACTGACAATTGGTACGAGTAGAAAATTTTGGAAAATACACAAGCAATTGAAATGAGATAATCGAATAACATCCTAGTGAACATAGTGTTCAAAAACCAATTGAAGCAAACAATTATAGTCTAGCATTTTTTGATTAGGGTTTTGATATTTTTGTGTTGTTTTCATCGCTTTTAGTGTTTTGGTTATTTTGATATTGTATAATTATAATCATATGAGGACATTACCCTAATTAGTTGAATGTCATTATAATTGCAAGTTTGGAATAGGCATGTAGGTCTTTGGATCATTTTGATATGATGAATGAAATTAAAAAGTTTCCTTTTGTATGAAAATGATTGATTTGTGGTTTGGCTTCAAAATAAATAATATGATTTTTACCATTATATAATGTATTGCAAAAAATATACCAAACATGTTACATAACACAACCAAGCTCATTAATCTCATAAATTTTTTAACTCGACGAAAACAATACAAGTATAGGGCATGTTGGAACTCAAATGGGGCTATCAAAGTTTGAACATATCGACCTCATACTAAAGATCAATTAATATCTTGTAAGTTCCAGTCGAGTTCACGACATTCCAATAAAATAGTTCCATATAACTTCCAATTGAGTTCATGACATTCCATTCTCAATGCAATTTGTACCTTTAGGGAGCATTTGGTATGTAGGATAGAATTGAATGAGTCTGGATAGTACTGAATGAGACTGAATTGCACAAGACCCAACTAATTATTTATATAAGGTTTGACAAAAATAGAATGGGACTGAATTGCACAAGACCCAACTAATTATTTATATAACGTTTGACAAAAATAGAATGAGACTGAACAAGAATGTAAAATTATTGGATTATCCTTAAATACATCAAAATTTCATAAACTATTTCCATTCTTTTAGGTCATAATACTTATAAGCATATATATCCTTAATAACTTTATTAAAAAAGAGTGGTCTCTCTTTCAAAGATTGGATTTTTTTTACTGTCAATTGCTATCGGTGAACTTTAAAAAAAATAAAAAATAAAATAAGATTGTACGTGGAGTAGATGATTATCAGTCATCATGAATAAGAATGAGAAGATATATTGCGATTGAAAAGAAAAAAAAATGTGATTAAGAGAAAATATTACAAGAGGAAGAGAAGTTGTGGAGCAAAAAAAGAAAAACACTAGAAGAAAAATAAAACAAGGAGAAGAGGCATTATTTTAAGGTGTTTTTGTCAAATATTTCTCGTTGTTCCATTCTGTTTCACATTTTTGGATGAGACTAAAATATTAACAATTAGTCTCATTTGACTTAGTCAATAACCTCTTTAGTTTTTGTCCCATTCCTACTAAAGCCCTTTGAACCATGTTGTTCCGTTTTATTCGGTTCTATTTCATCCGCTAAATGTTACCTTAGTGGTGGAGGTGGCACACATGGTGCTTAAAAAACTGCTTACTGAATTCATGAACTCCCATTTGTTGTGAAACATGGTAATCAAGACCCATCACATATGCTTAATGACTATTCGTCGAAGGCCTTTGAGTCTTGAGGTTGGTAAGGCCTCATAAATCTTTAAACCGAGAATTGAAGTACAACATTGTAACATCCCTCGTTAGGACCCATTTGTAAAATCATTTTCGAAACAAAGTTTAAACTCTTAAAGCATGCAGTATTGGTATGTTAAGGGGGATGTTATGGCTGAGGTGACAAAGAAAATGGTGTTATAACACCATAAACACCACCCCTAGTACCAGGTAAGGGCATGTTATGTTGCTTCTCGTTGTAACGATAATGCAACACCTTCATCAACCAATCAATTTTTTTTTTCCTGTCTCTCTCTCTACCTATTAACATGTTATAACATATGCATACCACTATCACTTCTAGTTGGTGTGTTGGCATGTGATGTGACAATTTTGGGTGTTATAACATTGGACCCATACCCAATGCTTTTAAAGTTCAAACAAACGTTTCAAGTTTTGATGTGCAAAAGTTTATTAGTCCCAAAATTTTAATTAAAGTTTCAAGTTCGTAACAAAGGTTAAGTTCCCCAACACTCAGAAGTGTTCCTCCCAAAAACTTATAAATAATATTTTTAGTTGCAAAGGGAACGAGGTACATAATTTCACAAAGGGGATCCATGTTCAAAACTCTAGCACATACAAAACATTGTTGATACTCCATGATTTATCCCCACGTATCGGGCCTGAAGACGGGTTTGACGTTGGTCAGCCAAATATTGAGATTTACCATTCTTTTAGATTAGGAGAATTTTGGAAGCGAAAAAAGGTAAAAGGAAATATGTCATGTCTATTCACAACATGTATCCATGACCTATACATCCGAACACCAATCGATGACATGTCTTTCCCGATGGAGGTTAGGTTCCATAAGGTTTGACCCTTCACCCATATATATTTCCCTTGATTTCTGATTATCAACCGGGATACCCCAAATCAAAAGTTCAAGATATAGTTTAGAAATTTATTAATAATAATAATTGTTTTATTAAAACATAACTTAAATAAAAAATCTAACTTTTATTACAGTTAATAATTTAAGTTAATAACTTAATATGATTAGATATTCAAAAACTCATGGATAAGGTTTAAAATGTCAATATGCTCCATACCATGGTATTTAAAATACAAAATAAAAGTATGGGCCGAAGGGCATTAAAGTAAAAGAACAATAATACCTGATTAGTGAATGGTATATGCTGTATCATTTTATACTATGACCGTACAATAATCCGGTTTGGGCCACACCCACACCCACCCACCCACATATTCACACACTTCCGCCATCTCAAGATGCCGGTTCAAGATCGGAACGCCACATCGCAGTCCACGATGTCATCATCGTCTCCACAAACCGCCGTCAACGGCGGAGAAAACGAATGCGACTGGGTCTGGAACGAAATCAAAGCTGAAGCTCGCCGCGACGCCGAATCCGAACCAGCCCTCGCCAGTTACCTCTATTCCACCATCATCTCCCACTCATCTCTCACACGCTCTCTCTCTTTCCATTTAGGAAACAAACTCTGCTCCTCCACTCTCCTCTCCACCCTCCTCTACGATCTTTTCCTCAACACCTTCTCCTCCGACCCATCTCTCCTCTCCGCTACCGTCGCCGACCTACGAGCCGCCCGTCAACGCGACCCTGCCTGCATCTCCTTCGCTCACTGCTTATTAAACTACAAAGGCTTTTTAGCGATCCAAGCCCATCGTGTGGCCCATAGACTTTGGGCTTTAAACCGGAAGCCTATAGCACTTGCGTTACACTCACGCATAGCGGATGTTTTCGCGGTGGATATCCACCCTGCCGCTAGGGTTGGGAAAGGGATTCTGTTGGATCACGCCACCGGCGTTGTGATTGGGGAAACGGCGGTGGTTGGGAACAACGTATCGATTTTGCATCATGTGACGTTAGGTGGCACCGGAAAGGTAGGTGGCGATAGGCATCCGAAGATTGGGGATGGGGTTTTGATCGGTGCTGGTGCGACGGTTTTAGGGAATGTGAAGATCGGAGAAGGGGCGAAGATTGGGGCTGGGTCACTGGTGATGATTGATGTTCCACCGAGGACGACGGCGGTTGGAAATCCGGCGAGATTGGTTGGTGGGCAAGAGCAGCCGAAGGTGCACGAGGATGTGCCTGGTGAGACGATGGATCATACGTCGTTTATCTATGTGATTTGAGGTTTGTTTTAGATTTCTGTAATCTGGTATTACTATGATTGTGATTAGGGTTTTGATTATTCATGGCTAAAATTTATAGGAACCATCGCCAAAATTCACAAGTAATGTTCTTTTCATTTTATACTTCAACATATTTCCTATCTTAAAATTTGTCATGAAATGACGATTAAATAAAAGAAAAATGGCTTTGTTGGTATGCTGTACACACAATGATTTAAAGTTTTATTTTTGGGATATCGATTAAACTAACTATGGTTACTACGTTATTTCGTAGTACCATTCAGAATTCCCGACTCTATTATTACGAAGTAAGATGACTACTTGTGTTTTGGTGATTATTGTAAATCCAAGCCTAAGCTATGTATTTTCTAATGATAACGAAATACATTAGCATATAACCGAATACATTACAATTAAAAAAGACAATAAATTAATTTGTATGTATATATGTATGAGACTTGTCATATAAATATTATCATATACTTTACAATATAAACCATAAACAGGACATACTAAAAAAAACTTAGAACAGGGCGTTTGAGTATGCCTAACTTGTTTTAACACAAAAAGCCATAAATATATGTAAATTTGTGCATACGGTACTTGGAAAAAATATATACGTATATGGTACTAAAAAAATGTTTGTGCATACAATGCTAAAAAAAAGTCTTTCGAGCACACACACTGCAAATCTGAAACAAACATTTATGTTCTGAATACATTAAACTATTTTGGAACGGTATCTGTGACGTTTTGTTTTGGGGTGCTTTATAGATGGAACTAAAAAAAACTAACTAATAACGAAATAAATTACTATATAAAACAATTATTCGCTGTCGCTTTAACAAATACACAATGAATTGAAACATTGGGTGGAGGGAGTCCCTCACAACACACATGCTTTTATATTCTCTCTCACTCTCATCTTTTTTAACCCAAAACATATGAAAATTCATTCTTCTTAATCCACATCATTGAGTACAAACTTATTATGCATATGGTATAAGTGAGAGAAGAAAAAGAGAGTGGGAGCATTGGTTCAACCTGCATCTTTTGTGACACCACAAGAGAGTGAATGATTTTCCTTATGGTACTGTCACTTCCATATACAACCTGAAAAAGTATTAGCTTTATGTCAACTCAACTATTTTATGTCATGTCTTGCTCATCCGAATAACTCTCTCTAATTTATGAGATGTTAGATTTCAGACTACATTAGTCTACGTCAAATTTTACCAACTCCATGACAAACATTATTACTTCGGAATGTCATGGTTATTTTTAAAAAATAATTTGGTTTTGTTAATTACTTCATTTACAGTGGTTAAATAAATATCCCTTTATTTATTGCAACATAATAAATATGCTTCAAATATTTCTTAATGACGATATTTATATAAAAAATATATTAAAAATAATATATATACATGTCACAATTTTATATAATTTTATATGAGTAGAAAGATAATTAGGACGATTTTAAATAATTTTATATGAGTAAAAAGATAATTAAAAAAATGATATTTAATTTTTCCATATGTTAACATACATCTGCTAATTTATTTTTAAACTATACTTTTGTCTCAAGCTGAGATTAGGGGTGTTCAAAAATATCCGTATCCGAAAAACCGATCCGAGAAATCCGAAAATCCGATCCGAAATTATCCGAAATTTCGGATATCCGGATTTTCGGATATCCGAAATTCGGATATCCGGTTTTTCGGATTCGGATACGGATAGTCATTTGAAAACTTTTCGGATATTTCGGGATATCCGATATCCGAATTTTTTTTTTTTTATTAAGTTTGAAAAAAAATTATAGTTATTGTTTTTAAACGTTAAATAGGAACAATTAGGAAATAGTTAGTTTTAATGTATCTTTTCTCTACAATAACACTATTATTTACATGCCAAAAGATGCTCACTTAACAGTTAGATATATTAGATATATGAATAGAAAATATTATTTAAAATAAAATTGTATTTCATTACTACAGGTAAGATTCTATAGTTTCATATATATATCTACTTAACATAATGGAATTAATATATAGACTTAGAAATTATCAGTAAATGTTTATTTCACAAACTAATTATCTTGTGTTTGTTCCCATCTTTTTTGTTTAAATTAAACCTCTGTCGTTATGAAAGTAATAAGAATAACTTGACCATCGTAATGCTATAGTGCCATATAACCCATTCGTTTTAATATCTTATATCAAAATTATTTAGTATATGTATCATTCGTTTTAATATCTTATATCAAAATTATTTAATATATGTATCATTCGTTTTAATATCTTATATCTAAATTATCTAATATATGTATCATTCGTTTTAATATCTTATATCTAAATTATCTAATATATGTATCATGTACGTATGGAGACTATAATTTTCATGTTGAAAAAATTGAATAACTTGTATGGATTAAAAATATGTAGAAAAAATCCAAAAAAAAGTTTTTTTTTTTTTTTTTCGGGATATCCGATTTTGCTATCCGAATCCGTATCCGAACTTTCGGATATCCGAAATTCGGATATCCGAAATTCCGGATATGGATTCGGATACTAAAATCCAATATCCGAAATTTTCGGATATCCGGTTTTGAACACCCCTAGTTGAGATACTTAGAACATATACTTTGGGATTCATGTAATTAAATGTCTTTGAGGTTTAAAGCATCTCAAAGCAATCATTAAGTTTACTATTAACATTATTTTAATATTTTTGGCAATGTTTTGAAAATCGGACCGTACATTGAACCGACCGTCTTATTGGTTTGATGGTTCAATTGGTTCGATCGATCGAACCGGTCTCAAAAACCAGATGAACCGGACGACACCATATATATAATATATATATATATTATATATATAATATATATATATATATAATATATATATATATATATATCACGATTTTGAACTTAGACTATCCGGAGTGGGGGCAGTAAAGGACGCGTGATGCTGACTGGGATAATCAAGCCACGCGTGAAGACCGCCCTGATGTCCGGTGGCTTGGCTGTGATGTGACCGGTAAGACGCGCGAAGACAACCAATCAGGAAAAAGAAGCGGCAGGCAACAAATTTTTGACTTTTTTTTTGTTTCTTTTTTCTTTTTCTACTGTTCGACCCAAAAAATAAAAATAAAAATTATTTCATTTTCAATTTAAAAAAACATATACTATAACTATAAGTAATACTTATTTTACATACATTTTACACTACAAAAACACACAATCTCTTCCCATTTTTTTTTCTTCGATCTATAAATCCAAATCTAAGTATCTCACCCACTCCAAACACCCCAAACACTCCAAATGATCAATTTGCAAATTTTAGTTACATGTAATTGATAACATCTCAAATCCAATAAGTTCAGGAAAAATATGGAAACTAGGTTCTAGTTTTTTAATATTTAAGTTTTATTTTGTATGATTTTTTAGTAATTTAGGTTTATTTTTTTAACTTTTTTTTTTTTTTTTAGTAATTTAGGTTTTAAATTTCTATGTTTTTTAATTAATGTGATGTGTTTCTGATTAATAATTTCAAACATCAAACAAGTATAATGTATATCAAATGTTAGATAAATATAATCATCACCATACAAAATTAATAATAAATGAAATTCATGATAAACTAATTAAGATCATAACATAAATTTTTAAAACAATATCAATAATTTCCATTCAAAAAAATAAGTAGTAATTACATAATATTAATAATAAAAGATTAAGTGTTAGATTGAGTAATTGGATGGGTATAACCCTAATGTCATATCCATCTTAAACCCACAATTTTAAAAAAAAAATCTTATACTTAGTCTCATAACCATTTATTAACATTGTTCTTTCTGTTAGATTATTTGGCCCATAACACAAGTTTCAGTTTAGTTTTTCTCGTCGGGTTCATGTAGTTTTCCATATTATGGAATTTTTTTAACAGAATATATTATCTTAATACAATTAATTGAAAATTTTACCGTACTCCTTTGTTTGGTTTCATGCACCCTCTAACATGGAACCTTATAATCATTTTCAATTTTTCCGTTTGTAATTGGCTTCATTTCATGTCTGTTTCATTTAATCGTTACGTCCATTTTTGTATGTAATTTCATTTTGTTGTTCATTATCCATGGTCGTTTCATTGGAAATTCTATCTCTAAATCCGATTCCTTTTTTATTTTGCTACCCCCTCTGTCACAAATTAATAATTTATGTTTCCTTTTTGGTTTGTCTTAAAATAATAGTCTACTTCTAAAAATAAATATTCATTTTACCAAAATACCTCTCATCTATCATGACATTAAATGCAACAAAATGATGGAATTAAATGTAACAAAATAGTACGATTGTTATTTCATTTAATAAAGTTAGTGATAATTAATGTTTTTATTACTCTGTATGTTTTTTGTCTGTGGATAATAATTTTGGACGGAGGGAGTGTTAATTATACATTTGTAATTTTGCTCCAAATGTTTGAAGTTTAACTTCTTGTTTATCTCGTTCAAACGCATAAAATTTTGAGCCAGAATTGAGGTTTTAGGTGCTCAAGGATTTATATTTTGTTCTCGATTTTTTTTAGGGAATGAAAATAAAGAGTTATGAGGGATTAGGAAGGATAAACGTGTTCTTGGGTTTTTTTAGTGAAGAAAATGAAAAGATTTCTATGAATTAGAAATGATAAATCTAACAAATTGCCCCCTCTAAACCATTGGGCTGATTATGAGGGATAAATCTAACAAATTGTCATTATATTCATGGAAGGTTATCATCTAACCTAATAAATGAAAATCATTTTTTCACATGTCTTCTTCTCATTTATTTCACCACATGGCTTTTCAGGTTTTTTTTTTTTTTTCCTACTTGTCATTTTTTAGGGTTTTTCATTTTCTTATATTAAATTTCTAGAATTTACGATCATATATGGAAAGTTGTCATTATATTCATGTAAGTAGGGCTGTTCAGTATTTGGATAAAACCGAATTGTCCAATTGGACAATTTGGATTGAACTATTTGGTTTGGATATTCGGATTTTTTGGATTGGTTTTCGACAAAACCGAATTATTATTTTGGCTTTCGGATTGGATATGGTTTATAAAATATGAACCGAATAGTCCAAAAAAACCGAATAACAATTTATTATATATTTATTTTTAATATATATCTATAGTTATTTATTAGTAATTTTGTAATTTATTTTTTGAAATAGGTTCAAAAAGTTTCACCTAATAAAAAATATTAATATGCGTTTTTTCTCAAAAGTTTTTTTATCTATAAAATATTAAAATATAAGATACCTTCATAATAGTTGCTTATAAATTTCAAATCGTAACTAAATAATTTGTTTTCTCTTCTTGTGTAAAATTCGGTAATATTATAATTATATTTCGTTTTAAAATGTTTTAGTTTTTAAAAACCGAATTATAAAAACCGATCCAACCGAATTGTAATTGGATCGGATCGGATCGGATTTGAATTTAGTTTGGACTATTCGGATCCATATTTTGAAAACCGAAATCAATTTGGATTCACTTGATTGGATTGGATCAAACTGATCCATCCAAACGAACACCCCTACATGTAAGGTTATCATCTAACCTAATAAATGATTTGCCACATGACTTTTTCTATTTTTTTTTCTTTTTCTTAGTTTCCACTTGTCATTTTTTAGAGTTTTTCATTTTTTACATTAAATTTCCAGAATTTACGATTATATATGGAAGGTTGTCATTATATTTATATAAGGTTATCATTATATTAATCTAACATAATATATGCAAAATCATTTTTCCACATGTTTTCTTCTTTATTTGCCACATGGTTTTTTTCTGTTTTTGTTTTTTCTTATTTTTCACTTGTCATTTTTTAGGGTTTTCATTTTCTTATATTAAATTTCCAAAATTTACGGTTATATATGGAAGGTTGTCATTATATTCATATAAGGTTATCATTATATTAATTTGAGAATAAATTTGCATCAATGTTACAAACACATTGATTCCTTTTTTCAATTACTTTATTAAATGTTTAATGTTTACATGTTGATATTAAATTTTTATTTTTAATAAACCTGTATATACTATACGGGTCTCATACCTAGTATGAAATACTAATTAAAAAACTGTTGAAATTTTAGTTTTTTTATATCAGGCCTCAGGGTATATTTTTCTTTCATCTTTCATTTTTCTTCTGCAACCTCGGCAACACCATATTGTTCCATTCCTCTTACATCACTCTTCAAAATCCATAGAATGATTAACTTTTACTTTCTCTCATTTTTATTTTTATATTAAAAAAATATATTGTATACCAATATTATATTCTTTTTTTAGAAAACTAAAACCATAAATTTTAATATATTTTTTAAATAATTTTTTAGTATATATATAATTTAATTAAATACAGTAAAAACTAAACAAAAAAAAAATACAATTTTTTAGCTGTTGGCAAATCAGAGAATGAAAGATAGTGAGGGGAGTCTACCCGAAGCAGAGAAACCCTTCACCTAAACCGCATCCAATATGTGGTGTTCTCTGGTACGGTTTCTTGTCTTAATCAGTAAACCGCACAGTGAAAGGGAAGCAAACCGTGCAACCTTAAGTCTCTTTTATTTTGGCATATATAATTTTGCTATAGAATAACAATAAAAACATAGATCAATAAGTTTAGCATTAATCCGTATAAACACAAGCCAAAAAAGCATACATTATTTAAAAAGTATCAATAATCTTTAGATAGTTACGTATGGATTTCTAAGGAACATAGAGAGGTTTAGGCAAAACTTCATGTGCAATTGTCTCAAACTTGCAGTCAAACAATTGATTTGTGTTCTCATCTTCCATCAACATCATTTTCCCAATGAGTTGGAGAAGAACTCGTTCGAGGTCTTCTCCATCGGTCCATTCATGGATTTCTGCTTTTAGAAGTTTTCTGTTTTTGCATATCAAATCCCAAACAGGAAAATCTTTCCTCGGCATCATGCAATCATTTTCCCCAAGCTTTAGACTCGGGCAAAAATCACCCGCTCCATCTCCTAAATATATAATCCTTTTCTTTCCTTCTTTTGCTAACTCGGCTTGAATTCTTTCTACTATTTTACCCTGTTAGATAAATTTTCAATGAAAAATATTAAAACATAAACTTAAGTGTACGATTTAAATATTATAAAATTACCAGATAACTAAAAACCGACCTTGCACATGTTGGGAGGGCAAAGGGTGCAACCATGAGAGAAAACATGGAAATCATGGTACGGCAAAATCCTTAACTTTCTTTTATCATCGACAAAACCCGGGTTCGTATTAATCTCTGAGAAATATTCACGTATCCCAAGATGCTTAAGTATAGTTTCTATATAGAACAAATTCGCATCGCTTAACACCCTCAAATCACATCTGAAATAAATTCGTTACATATAATTAGTCATTTCCATACCAAACAATAACTATTACAAATCCAAACAAAAGAAAAAATAAAGTTACCCTAAAGCATATGCAGCTTTAATGGCAGGAACAACTCGAGGATGTATCGGGGTACGTTTAAGGACATTTTCAATATCCTCAATGCTCCTACCTTGCAAATTTAGCTCATTCATCATCTTATCCTGTTTAAAACGAATAGTTTTAGCGTTATAAATTTTTTACAGATAAAAAGAATACATATATGAAAGATTTATATGTATATTGAAAAATGAAAAACTAAAGTACCATAACGGAGTTCCATGGCATGGTGGGAAGAAGTTGGTTGAATAAATCCGTTGCACCCAACTCATCGACCACCCAATTGTCGCTATCAATGTCGATGATTGTTTTGTCGAAGTCAAAAATCACTACAATTCCTGACATTGTTGTTGAATAATGAATACACGAAAAGAATGAGGATTTTGGTATAATAGTAAACTACGAGTACATGAAAGTATTTATAGGAATTGAAAAAGTGGGATGTTTTAAGATGCCAAAGGAATATTTATCATGGGATTTGATCTGAGGCATTGGTTTGTTGTCACGTGAGGATTGAAAAGTGATCCAAGGGTGGTTGTTTGTTAAAGTAGTTTAAAAAGGAATATACTGATTTTGGGAAATGAATATACTGATTTTGGGATTTGATCTGAGGCATTGGTTTGTTGGCCAGGCAGAGTGCAGATTTTTGATTTTTGCTGCTGGAAATGGACTAGAAACATTACCCTAAACTGTTTTGGTGTTATTAAACTTGTTTTAGATGGTGTAATGATTGTTCTAATCCATTTACAATGGCTAATATCAAAATTACATTATTATATGTGTTCATATGTTCTTGAAATTTTGATATAATTATTCATGTTCTTATGAGTGCTTGATAGATCATAGGAATTACTTGTTTAATGCTGAATTCATGATCTTTATGTGTTTTAATGGAGTCGATAACTTGTCCTCAAGTTATGGATAACCAAAAGTCTCTTTGAATTAAAGCCATTAAAAGAACACATAAGTTACAAAATGAAGAGTCTTCATTTTAATAACTCATAAGTTATGAATTGAAAGGTTTTGTAAAGTTACAAAACTTGCCCTCAAGTTTTGGAACATGTAAAGACATCTAGTAAACTTTAGTTCCAACCTCTAGAATTTTAAAAGTAAAAATTCAACCCTTATACTTTATAATATTATAAGTTAATAATATATATATATATATATATGTATGTATATATATATATATATATATATATATATATATTATATATATATATATATATATGTATAAGATCAAAGTCGTTTTACCGTTAGTAGGCCTCATTCACGAAGTCGGTTTATAAGGGGAGTATAAGGTTGTTGGCTATAAAATGACAACTTAATGGGTGTCCGCTCTCACCTACCGCTTCCTTGACTGGTGGAGGGTCGTTAGCCGAACGGGTAGGACAATGACTTAAAATTCTCATTAAAAGTATAATGACTATTATAAAGTAACTAAATGTTTTTATAAATTCCTAATCTTAGTTACTTCAGGAAAATGTGAATAAGGTGCTAACCCATGAAATTACACTTTGCACTTTGATTAATTCGTTAGTGGAGTGTGTGTGGTTAACCGACACACTAACTTGGACTTAACAAGGTAGGCAAAGGGTGACTTAAGGTTTTTCATAGGTCGGTGGAGCGCGTGTGGTTAACCGACACATCGATTAAGTGAAAAAACATTAAGGGTACCTAGTAATTTGCATGGTTACTTCACACCTTGTTTTGTGATCCTCGGTATCCCAGTCACAAAAATGAAGGGCACACTCGAGATTGAAACATGCCATTGAACAGTTCAATGAATCTCAAAAGAATCGAGGAGTTTATAAAAACCAAATAAAACCTAATAAATTAAATATTTCGTTTTTCATGGTGGAAATTGGTGAATCGTCATTCACCTACCTTTCAAATATGTTATTACTTAGATTACGGCATCCCTCTTCTAAGTATAATATATTGTGATTGGATCCTAGCCTTAATATTACATTTGGGTGTTTTATTAAGGACTATCTTATATCTAAACTAAACTTATATTTTCTTCTTTTCAGATGTCTTCAAACATTGCTGCTTCTGGATCAAACCCTACTGGCTCCTTCTCTCTCATGAACCTATGTGGGAGAGTCATCTTTGATGGATCCAACTTTACAGATTGGATCAAAAACATCAGGATGGTCACTCGGTATGAGAGGAAAGAATATGTTCTCGACAAGGAGCTTAAGGTGCCTGAGCTAACTGCTACTCCTGAGGAGCTTGCTGAATATGAGGCACATGAAAGAGATGCTACCAAAGTGGCATGCATCATGATGGCCACTATGACGGGCCGAGCTCCAAAAGTTCTATGAGGACTACTATCCTTTTGAGATGCACTAGGATTTGATGGACCGCTACCATCAAAGTGCTCGTCAAGAGCGATATGAAATCATCTCCTCCATGATAACAACCAGGATGAAGGATGGTGAACCCATCACGGGCCACATGCAGAAAATGCAAAGGTATGTGGACCGTTTGCTGAAACTTAATGTGAAATTTCCCGAGGAGTTAGCAATAGATATCATTTTGCACTCCTTACCTTCGTGTTATGATCAATTTGTTGGATTAGATGTCTAAGCCCATAACTATTATTGGTATGTACTTGACCCGAGAGTAGCATGGTCCATTTGGGTTGCATATCATCAGGACAATTTGTTAGGATGGACTTTTGAGAGAAGGTTATTTATGGTTTATTAATATATTATAAGTTATAATATATTAATATGAAATCATATGTTTTAATTAGTATCGATCAAGAATTAATTTGGAATTAATTTAGTGATCAAAAGAGACTAATTAAATCTATGGGGACTAATAATGATAATTAGTTATATTTATATGTGTTGGGCTTATGATCCATGTTGGATCAAGTTTATATATGGATACATAAAGAGTTGGGCCACATGAACCATGGATCATAAAACCCATGGGTATGGATTATGGGGTTATACCCATGACCCTTGGAATCCTACATATAAATAGGTTACTCCATAGCCAAAATCACCACTTCTTTTCTTAGAGAAATATGGAGGTGTTTTGGTGCATGGAATTCTCTCTCAAGAGCCACCTTTGTCCTAGGTGTGTTGTGGTTCCATTTGAGGCATTTCATACTATTGGTGCTAAGCTCTTAAGGCCAAATACATCAAGACTTCAAGCCACATAAAAGGTATGTTTCCCTAACTAGTATATTATATGGTTTATGTCAAATGCATGCTAGTTATAGGTTTAATGCCTTGGAAACCATTTGCATGTATAATAGAGAAAACATAGATCCAAGGTATTTAGGGTTGTATGTGCACCATAGGATGTTGTAGTATACTAAAACCCAACAGTGGTATCAGAGTCATGGGTTGTTTTCTATTATATTTGATGCAAATGTATTTTTTTTTCAAGTTGAAGGAAAAAAAAAGAAAAAAAAACATGAAGTTTGTCAAATTTTATGATAATTAGTTGCTTTTATGAAAAACTAATTATTTATAAAATTTGAGTCACTTTACTACAAGAGTTGAATTAGGTCAATTTATTAAAAGATAGAATGATATGATTATTTATTTGTTTTAAAAGTTTGATCTAAATGGTTTTAAGGAGTTACAAATTTTGTCATAAAATTTTGGAACTAAAAAGTTTTTTTTAAAGTTATGATCTTAAGAGTTTTGAAACTTCCATAAGTTATGGATGTGAAATGTCTCATTTATTAACTCTTTAGGTTATGAATTCCAAGAGTCTTCAAAGGATAATTGTCAAAGTTTCAAGATTTGTATTAGTTTATATGATTATCTAATTTCTTGAAAATTGTTGATGTGAATTATCTTTACTTATGAGTTTAATCTAGATCATAGAAAAATTATTTGATTATTGTGTTAATTGGAATATTTGATCTTAATGGTTTTATGAACTCCATAACTTGTCCTCAAGTTATGGAAAGTGAAGAGTTTTTCTTTTTAAAGTGTCATTAAGTCTCATAGGTTATGAAACTAGAAGAGTCACTATTTTTAATGTCATCATTAAATGATTTAATGTCTTCCATAACTTGTCCTCAAGTTATGGAACTTGAATTTTTTTTTTCATTAAACCTTAATTAAACTCATAAGTTGTGAAAAATCCAAGAGTTTTGAAAGGTTTCAAAACTTGTCCTCAAGTTTTGGAATTTGGAAAGTTACCCCCCATGTATACTTTAATTCCAAACTAGACCTTAGAATTTTAAAAGTTTAAAATTCAACCCTTATACTATTATTATAATTTTAATTATATAGATATGTATAAGATAAAGTCGTCTTACCATTAGTAGGCCTCATTCACGAAGCCGGTCTATAAGGGGGGTATAAGGTTACTGCTTATAAAATGGCAGTTTAATGGGTGTCCACTCTCACTCACCGCTTCCTTGACCGGTGGAGGGTCGTTAGCCGAACAGGTAGGACAAGGAATATAATTCTCCCTTCATTATAAGTATAATGATAAATACTAAGTAACTAAACACTTATAAATTCCCAATCTTAGTTACTTAGGAAAATGTGAATAAGGTGCTAATCCATGAAATTACACTTTGCACTTTGTTTAAGCTGTTAGTGGAGCGTGTGTGGTTAACCGGCACACTAACCTGGACTTAACAAGGTAGGCAAAGGGTAACTTAATGTTTATCATAGTATCGTTGGAGCGTGTGTGGTTAACCGGCACATCGATTGAGGGGTAAATATTAAGGGTACCAAGTATATTTGCATGGTTACTTCACACCTTGTTTTGTGATCCTCGGCATCCCAGTCACAAAACCTGAAGGGCACACTCGAGATTGAAACATGCCATTGAAAAGTTCAATGAATCTCAAAAGAATCTAGGAGTTTCAAAACCAATTAAAACTTAATAATACATTTCGTTTATTTTGGTGGAAATTGGTGAATCGTCATTCACCTACCTTCAAATATTTTATAGCTTGGATTACGGCATCCCTCTTCCAAGTTATAAAAGAGTTTGTTGGGTCCTAGCCTTAATATATCATATTGGGTGTTATATTAAGGACTTAAATCAACTTTACGTGAATTTCTCCCATTGTTGATGTCTGGTTTAGACAACAATGATCTTCCCAAACCAAGCTTTCCTAATGAATATGACTTCCCGAGTTTGGCTCATGGAAGTCATACTTCTCTTCCTCCACCTCCTCCAATTATTCTCCCTTACCCACAAGTTCAAGGTCACTCAAGCCCTAATGGCAAGCAAGGTCTATGTGTGATCACATCTTAGAGATGAAGTCACATATTGACAAGCCGGGAGAGTTGGGTGTGAAAGTCTTGAGAAAGTTGGATGTTCAATCACTTTCTAAGTCACATAGTGAGTTCCTTTGAGACTACTATGAAACAGACTATGACATGAA